GCTGTACAAATTGTTGGAAATTTTGTTCTTCCACGTGGTCTTCATTAAAGGTGGGTGCCTCTTCCTCTTGGCCTTCTTCGTCTTCGGAACTTTCATTGCCAGGATGTTTTAAATAGACATCGGAAAGTTCACGACCTGAGGAGACCTGAAAGACAAGAGAACAAATTGTTAAAGAAAATAGAACTATAGACTATAGGCTAATCTTTAAACCAGACTATAGACTAACCTATACTCCAGACTATAAACTAATCTATAATCTGGACTATAGACTAAACTATAGTGCAGACTAATCTAAAGTCCATAATATAGCTTGATCTATAGTCCAGCCTGTAGACTGATATATAGGCTAGACTAAAGACTGACTATAGGCGAGACTAAATACTGATCTATAGCCTATACTATAGACTGATCGATAGACCAGAATATAGACTAAACTATAAACCAGACTATAGATTGATCGATAGTCCAGACTATAGACTGTTCTATAGTCCAGACTATAGACTGTTCTATAGTCCAGACTATAGACTGTTCTATAGTCCAGACTATAGACTGTTCTATAGTCCAGACTATAGACTGTTCTATAGTCCAGACTATAGACTGTTCTATAGTCCAGACTATAGACTGTTCTATAGTCCAGACTATAGACTGTTCTATAGTCCAGACTATAGACTGTTCTATAGTCCAGACTATAGACTGTTCTATAGTCCAGACTATAGACTCTTCTATAGTCCAGACTATAGACTGTTCTATAGTCCAGACTATAGACTCTTCTATAGTCCAGACTATAGACTGTTCTATAGTCCAGACTATAGACTGTTCTATAGTCCAGACTATAGACTGTTCTATAGTCCAGACTATAGACTGTTCTATAGTCCAGACTATAGACTGTTCTATAGTCCAGACTATAGACTGTTCTATAGTCCAGACTATAGACTGTTCTATAGTCCAGACTATAGACTGTTCTATAGTCCAGACTATAGACTGTTCTATAGTCCAGACTATAGACTGTTCTATAGTCCAGACTATAGACTGTTCTATAGTCCAGACTATAGACTGTTCTATAGTCCAGACTATAGACTGTTCTATAGTCCAGACTATAGACTGTTCTATAGTCCAGACTATAGACTGTTCTATAGTCCAGACTATAGACTGTTCTATAGTCCAGACTATAGACTGTTCTATAGTCCAGACTATAGACTGTTCTATAGTCCAGACTATAGACTGTTCTATAGTCCAGACTATAGACTGTTCTATAGTCCAGACTATAGACTGTTCTATAGTCCAGACTACAGACTGTTCTATAGTCCAGACTATAGACTGTTCTATAGTCCAGACTACAGACTGTTCTATAGTCCAGACTACAGACTGTTCTATAGTCCAGACTATAGACTGTTCTATATTCCAGCCTATAGACTGATCTATAGTCTAGACCGTAAACTGATATATAGTCCAGATCGTAGACTGATCTATAATCCAGACTATAGACTGATCTAATATCCAGACTATAGACTAGACTTTAGGTATTCATTACTAATTCCTTACCTCTTCAACAAACCCAGTCAGCATAACCTCACTGCCGCTACCCTTACTTTTAGCGATTTCCTCCAGCTTTTGTTCGGTTTTCTTGGCCTGTTCCGCTAATTTTTCCTCACGCAGTTTATTATACTCCGACTTATAATCTCTGCAAAGAAAAGCAATCCTTATTTACAAAAACACTGTAAAATTTTCATACTTCATACTTTTCATATTCTTCTGCTCCCTGAGCCACCAAAGCAAAGAAACGATCAAATCCTACTCCTGTCTTAGAAGATATACCACAAGTTTTTAAATCACTATAAAATTCATCCAAAGTCAAAGACATGGTGCGTGTTAGATTGCTTATATAGTTTTGTTCCTTTTCCAAAGACTCCTGGAATGCCTCAAAGTCTGTCATCCATTCTACGGCAAAATCATGATCTTGTATATCAATCTGAAAAAGGAAATTTTTATTAAAAATACTTAAATTTTAATAAAATTTAGAAATTAGTTGTTTACCTTATTCATTACCACTACAAATGGCAATCTAGCCTTATAGAGTATCGAGCAGGCATATAACATATTAGACATAAAGGTTGTAGGACTTACGGACCTCACCACATCCATAACATATACCACTATGGTGGGAAACATGGTGGCCAAGGCCTCTGTTATTATAGTACCCGAGGCAGACCAGGTGAAAACCTCTATTTGACCAGGAGTATCAATAATACACCATTTGTGTCCCTGTTGTCCGGCTCTTCTTATTAATTCAACAACTTTTTCAAATTTAGTGGCAAATAAGTTAAGACTGGTTACTATACCACCATTGGGACCCAATTTATATTGTTTCATTACCTCCTTATAGTTAACCGTGTCTCTAATGTCTATATTACAATGGTAAGGGGTCTCCCGACAAGCAGGATCCAAATTTATCACATAAGGTTTGTATTTATCGAACGAAGTTTGTGTAAGCTTTTGCACAAATGTGGTTTTACCGGAGCCGGCCATGCCAAGCACAATCATACAAATGGGGCTAGATTGAGGACCATTTTCTACAGCCAAAGGTGATGAAGAGGAGGCGGACATGTTGTATTGTAAGTTTTCTTAATAAATAATTTAGGAGATTTATTTAAAATTGTGAAAATAACACAATTTTTAAATTTCAAAACAAAAACTGCGTGTTTTTATTTATTTGCTTTGCAAATACAATGACATTTGTCAAATGGTGACAGCGAACAGATGTAAACAAATATGAAAAGGTTGCCACATGTACTATGGTATACGAGCGATTTTTTAAGAGAAATGTATTTATTTGCAAAATATTTTAAAATTTTAAGAAATTTCTTAAAAAATTAATTGAAATTTGCTTTTATTAATTAAATTATATAAAATTTGTTTATTTTCTTGTAATATTTTTAAGTTTTTTAAAATAAATAAATTTAATAGAGTTACCAATTGTAAAGCTTTCTATACAGAGAGCCGCCATATAGAAAAACAAAAATGTAAACACTGCTAAAGATGCCAGATGAGAAATAATATAAGAAAGAGAAAAGGGCTACCATATTTATAACTAAAAAGAAAATTTAAATAACAGTAAATTTTATAAAATTTTTGATAAATTTATATAAAATATCAAAGAAATTTAGATGAATTTATTATAAATTTAACAAAATAAGTGACAAATACAAAGAAAATTTTATTAATCTAATAAAATAAGTAACAAATCACAATTGTCTGTGTCACAAGAGTGAAAATTGTGTTGCACAAAGGAAAATTTCCCTTTAAAAGAATAAACCACTTGTGTGTCACAAAAACATTTCCCTCCTTCTTACACATTACATTTCCGTTAATACGCCAGCATCTTTTAAGCAGCATTTTAAAGAAATCTTAAAATACTACACCCGCATCATGTCATCCGATGAAACTAATTCCACTGAACCCTTAACATCATCCCAAAAATCTAAAAGAACTTATAAATCCCGCATGATTCCTTTGGAGTCCGGACAACGTTGTATAGCCTCAGCCATAGCAAGAATTATTAAGCACATGGTTAGTAAGGAATTGCAAGAACGTTGCAAGAATCTCTTGCAAATGGAAGATATGGCAGAGACTGAGGCACGTATTTTACATGTTTTACAGCAAATAGATAAAGAAAGAGAGGAGGAGGAGAAGGAAAAGGAAAATAAACGGAAGAGAATTAAAAAGACTTAGACACAGGATAACAATGGAGTGGTAGAGGAGTAAAAGTTAAAATCTTTACAATAAGAAACCTAACCTTAAAATTTGTTTAAAATAGTTAATATATTTCGTTCATTAAGTTAATTTTAGTGTTTATAATTAAGTTTAAAAGTATTTAAGATAAAAATGTTTTGTTAACTTTTAAAAATATTGTTGAATTTAAAGAAATAAATATATAAATAATAAGAAAAAAGTTGTTTATGTTATTTTATAGACTAGAATATAGACTAGACTATAGATTAGACTATAGACTAGATTATAGACTAGACTATAGACTAAACTATAGTCTAGACTAGACTATAGACGAGACTATATACTAGACTATAAACTAGACTATAGACGAGACTATAGACTATATTATATATTAGACTACAGACTAGATTATAGACTAGACTATAGACTAGACTATAGACTAGACTATAGACTAGACTAAAGACTAGACTATAGACTAGACTATAGACTAGACTATAGACTAGACTATAGACTAGACTATAGACTAGACTATAGACTAGACTAAAGACTAGACTATAGACTAGACTATAGACTAGAGTAAAGACTAGACTGGACTATAAACTAGACTATAGAATAGACTATAAACTAGACTATGGCCTAGAGTGTTAACTAGACTGATACTTTCTTTTAGCAAAAAATTACAAACAAAATCGTATTTCTTTTTAATTTCAATTTTATTAATTTCACTTTTTCAATCAATAACTATACATTAAATGTACATTTTCTTTTGTTTATATTAATAATTAATTAATTTTTTTTAATATAAATATAAAGGAATAAAATATAATAATGTAATAAATACGTGTGTTGTGTGTGTGTTTTTTTTTTCATATATATTGTTTATATTTAGGCAATTATTATTAATAAAAAAAAATTAACAAAATAAAGTTTAAATCCATTATATTTAATTAAATAATATTTTTAACAGTGTTTTTATTAAACAAAAAGATTAATTCATTAATTTCTTTTGCATACTAAACTACTATATTATTATCAAAAAAATTAGCAATACATATTTTCTAAAAAAAAATTTATAAAAATTTTCATTTCTATGAATTATATAAAAAATATATAATTTATTTATATTATTAAGCCAATAGAAAACTATGGTTTTTTTATGCTAAAAAATTCAAACTTAAATTTATTTATATACGTTTCAGATAAAATGGAAATTTTTGTATTTTTTTATATTTTTTAAAAACTAAATAATTTTATTTAAAAAAATAGTTTTAGCCAAATAATTAAAATAAAAACTGTAATACTTTTTTTGTTTTTGTAATAAATTTGTTTATAATTTTAGTTTTTTTTCTTTTTTAACAAGGTTATTCGAAATTTTCGATAAATTTTAAATAAATTAGTTTTAAGTTTTAAAACGTTACCTATTTTATATGTAACATGTTTTTACGTAGCGTTTAGTTTTAAGAGGCTACTCTTTACAAAATTATTAAGTTTTTTCTCTCTAAAAAGTAGTTTGATTATAAAGCAAGTTTGTTGCAAGCCTTAAGTTTAGAAGCTTTTTTTTTAGATTTTAGTTTATTTTTAAACAAGCTGTAGTATTGTAGTTTAGTTTATAATAGTTTTCAATTTAAGTTATTTTAAATAATTTTGGCTTATGAAGAACAAGTTTATTTGTTTATAACGTATTATTGTTTACACCAAGTTTTAAACCAGAAACAGGTAACAAATGATCTGGAAATGAAATATTTAAATTAATAAAATAGAGACTAAACTATAGGCTAGACAATAGACCAGTCTTTAGACTAAACGATAGACTAGACTATAGATTAGACAATATATCAGGCTATAGACTAAAATATAGACTAGCATATAGACTAGATCAGACTATAGACTAAAGTATAGATTAGCATATAGACTATAGACTAGACTATAGACTAGACAATAGACTAGACTATAGACTAGACTATAGACTAGACTATAGACTAGACTATAGACTAGACTATAGACTAGACTATAGACTAGACTATAGACTAGACTATAGACTAGACTATAGACTAGACTATAGACTAGACTATAGACTAGACTATAGACTAGACTATAGACTAGACTATAGACTAGACTATAGACTAGACTATAGACTAGACTATAGACTAGACTATAGACTAGACTATAGACTAGACTATAGACTAGACTACAGACTAGACTATAGACTAGACTATAGACGAGACTATAGACTAGACTATAGACGAGACTATAGCCGAGACTATAGACTAGACTATAGACTAGACTATAGACTAGACTATAGACTAGACTATAGACTAGACTATAGACTAGACTATAGACTAGACTATAGACTAGACTATAGACTAGACTATAGACTAGACTATAGACTAGACTATAGACTAGACTATAGACTAGACTATAGACTAGACTATAGACTAGACTATAGACTAGACTATAGACTAGACTATAGACTAGACTATAGACTAGACTATAGACTAGACTATAGACTAGACTATAGACTAGACTATAGACTAGACTATAGACTAGACTATAGACTAGACTATAGACTAGACTATAGACTAGACTATAGACTAGACTATAGACTAGACTATAGACTAGACTATAGACTAGACTATAGACTAGACTATAGACTAGACTATAGACTAGACTATAGACTAGACTATAGGACTAGACTATAGACTAGACTGATAGACTAGACTATAGACTAGACTATAGACTAGACTATAGACTAGACTATAGACTAGACTATAGACTAGACTATAGACTAGACTATAGACTAGACTATAGACTAGACTATAGACTAGACTATAGACTAGACTATAGACTAGACTATAGACTAGACTATAGACTAGACTATAGACTAGACTATAGACTAGACTATAGACTAGACTATAGACTAGACTATAGACTAGACTATAGACTAGACTATAGACTAGACTATAGACTAGACTATAGACTAGACTATAGACTAGACTATAGACTAGACTATAGACTAGACTATAGACTAGACTATAGACTAGACTATAGACTAGACTATAGACTAGACTATAGACTAGACTATAGACTAGACTATAGACTAGACTATAGACTAGACTATAGACTAGACTATAGACTAGACTATAGACTAGACTATAGACTAGACTATAGACTAGACTATAGACTAGACTAGACTAGACTATAGACTAGACTATAGACTAGACTATAGACTAGACTATAGACTAGACTATAGACTAGACTATAGACTAGACTATAGACTAGACTATAGACTAGACTATAGACTAGACTATAGACTAGAATATAGACTAGACTATAGACTAGACTATAGACTAGACTATAGACTAGACTATAGACTAGACTATAGACTAGACTATAGACTAGACTATAGACTAGACTATAGACTAGACTATAGACTAGACTATAGACTAGACTATAGACTAGACTATAGACTAGAATATAGACTAGACTATAGACTAGACTATAGACTAGACTATAGACTAGACTATAGACTAGACTATAGACTAGACTATAGACTAGACTATAGACTAGACTATAGACTAGACTATAGACAAGACTATAGACTAGACTATAGACTAGACTATAGACTAGGCTATAGACTAGACTATAGACTAGACTATAGACTAGGCTATAGACTAGGCTATAGACTGTACTATAGACTAGACTATAGACTAGACTATAGACTAGACTATAGACTAGACTATAGACTAGACTAGACTATAGACTAGACTATAGACTAGACTATAGACTAGACTATAGACTAGACTATAGACTAGACTATAGACTAGACTATAGACTAGACTATAGACTAGACTATAGACTAGACTATAGACTAGACTATAGACTAGACTATAGACTAGACTATAGACTAGACTATAGACTAGACTATAGACTAGACTATAGACTAGACTATAGACTAGACTAGATAGACTATAGACTAGACTATAGACTAGACTATAGACTAGACTATAGACTAGACTATAGACTAGACTATAGACTAGACTATAGACTAGACTATAGACTAGACTATAGACTAGACTATAGACTAGACTATAGACTAGACTATAGACTAGACTATAGACTAGACTATAGACTAGACCATAGACTAGACTATAGACTAGACTATAGACTAGACTATAGACTAGACTATAGACTAGACTATAGACTAGACTATAGACTAGACTATAGACTAGACTATAGACTAGACTAGACTAGACTAGACTATAGACTATATAGTCCAGAGTATAGAGTAAACTACAGACCAAACTATAGTTTTTAATCTAAGTTTATTTCTAATCCTAAACTTACCTTTTTCTTTTCCTTGTTTTTATTATTGTTCTCTCAACTATTAAAGGGCACTGTTTTCTTCTTCCTGTACCTCGGCCAACGTTAAGGCCTGATCCTTATGCTAGGCAATCGATAAACGATCCATAATGGAGCCCTCCAATAAAAATTCCTGACTGCTGGATAAAATATCATGTAATTGTTGCGTTTCACCAGTATTATTGCTAAATGGAAAGAAGGAAGATATCTCGGGTAGAATAGAGGCTACACCAGCATCGGCCGCAGTAACTGACGCACCACCAGCCAAAGAGGAACGTCTGCGGCGTTCTACGCCTTCTATGAATTCTACACCATCTGTGGAAGTGGTTTGAGAGGGTCTTCTCTCTTGGCTGATCGAAGGTTTGGGTTCTTTCGTTAAATCATAGTAAATATCCGGCAAATCGTCGTACTCTTGCAGTTCGAGACAACGTTGTAATTTCGCTATATTACTAAGCAATAGTCGATGTTGTAGTTCGATTTGGGGAAAACCACCACGTTTGATTTCTAAAATGGGCATAAAACGATAATAGCACTGTTCCCAGATTTGCAGAGAAGACATGCGATGTTCGGGTAGTAAATATCTATCTTTGGGTATAGAAGATTTGGCTATGAAATTCTGAGGAACCATAGTGTTGCGTTGATGTTGAGGAAATTGTAGCTGTAGACCAGGTTTGGCCAGACCCGGCAGCATTACAGCACCAGCCGGTATAGCTATAGAACGTCTACAGGGCAGTTCCTGTTTCTGCTTTTGATAGAAAGGGTTGTTGAAGAAGAGTTTATCCTTTTCCAAAAATTGTTCCGACCAATCCCAGACGGGGCGCAACACCAATTTGTTCTCCTTAAGAGCCTTAAGACGCTCAGCATTTGTATCAAATTGAAAGGTATCGAAAATGGGCATAAAGCAAGAATCCCAGAGAGTGGTTAAGTAGGTTTGAGAGAATTCAAATTCATCGGGAAATTGCTGCAGCAATTGCCAAACTGAATCGAGGAAAAGCAAGAAAACAGGACTCTCTTCTTGTAAGACAGTAGAATCGGCAGGCAAACGCACATGCCCCAAGCGGCGCTGAAAAGGATGCTCCAAAGCCACCCATTCTTTTTGTATCAACGACTGGAAACCATCTATGGAACGGTACAAAGGATCGAGAATTATTTGTGTTAAAGAGGAAATAATGCAGCATAAGTCACGGCCATTGGATTCTTGTAGAACACAAGAAATGCCTTCTCTTAGTTTCTCGGCCGCCACACAAGCATAACGTAGACATAACGAAGAGTAAAACAACCAATTGGATTTTTCGAGTAAGGAGAGAAATTTAGAATCTTCCAACACAAAATGTTGGGCCG